AGTACTGGTACTGTGATATAGTGAAAGGCACGAAGTGTAATCCCAGTACTGGTACTGTGATATAGTGAAAGGCACAAAGTGGCTAGTGAACCACCTCAGAGAGTTTTAGGAGAAAAACATCATTGTTTAAATCTTGAAAACCAATTATTAGTGGGCTATTATAAGGTTTATTTATGCCAAACTAAGTACCTTGTATCTTTTAAATTTAACACCTTTATTTAGTCAAATAATGTTCTTGAATGTGACCTTTATGGGGCAGTTTTTCCTTTGTTTTTCCTAAAGGTTTCTTACTTCCTGTCAATGGGAAGAAATACATTGTGTCATCAAAAATTTCCAATGATTTTGTTGTGGGGAAAAATTATTTTATAAGAAAATTTTATAAATCATTTATAAAAGCCTTTTATGTTTAATAAAGCACATAAAACATGTTAACCATATGTACTAAATAAAACACATATTATAAAATGAGATTTAATTATAGTGTGTTACCATTATCTGTTTTTTTTAAAAAATAGAATTTATTATGTATTTTTACATAATAAACATATAATGTGATGTTATGGGATGCATATAAGTAGTAAAATGGTCACTGTAGTGAAACAAATTAATATATCCATCATCTCAATTGGGTTTTATAAATTCTTTCTTTGTATGTTCTCACATGTGGGTCTTTATGAATGAATGTCACTTAGGCTTTAGAAGACCATCACATCCGCCATGCAAGAATTCTAGAAGCTTTAGAAACTGAAAAACAAAAAATTGCTAAAGAAGTAGAAATTCTACAACAGAATCGGAATATTAGGGATAAAACGTTTACAAGTAAGTATATGTTGATTTTAGCAAACATTTTCTAAAGTTGTATATGTTATATATAATTACTAAATGTTATAGTTGCCTTTTCAACTATAACATTCAAAATGTTTTATTCTAGAAGTCATTGATTTTTCTGAATCTAAGTAAATTTTTAGGAATGACTGTCTTTAGAATATTCAGTTTTTAGTATATTTAGTTATATTAGTGGTACTGAATGTTTATGTCTCCCCATAATTTGTAGGCGAAATAGGACATGAGGGTACAGCCCTCTTAAGTGAAATTAGTTCCTTTATAAAAGGAATCCTAGAGAGTAGCTACATCCTTCCAGCAAGTGAAGACACAGCAAGAAGACGACAGTGTGCATCCCAGAAAGGCCCCTCCCTAGAGCTCAGCAGGGATGGCACTCTGATCTCAGACTTCCAGCCCCCAGAACTATGAGAAATAAATCTCTGTTGCTTATAAGCCACCCAGTCTATATAATTTGTTATAGCACTCCAACTAAGCAAAGAGTGAACAAAATTAAGTATTATTTTAACATACAACATGTTTTTGGAAATTTATTTTATTTTAATCCTTAATCCTTCATTTATATTCACTCAGTTGTGCTTCATGGAGTGTTTTGTTTTCTTTTTCACTTGGGGTTGTTCTTTTTCTTTAAGAGACATCTTTTTCTAGCTTTATTGAGGTATAATTAACAAGAATTATATATATTTAAGGTATACATGTTTTTATATACATTGTGAAATGTTTACCACAAGCAAGGTGATAATTCATCACTTCACATAGTTACCTTTTTTCCTTATTATATTTCAAGTGTGTAATACAGTATTATTTATTATTAACTATAGTCAACTTGCTATACATCAGCCCTCCAGAATCTGTTCATCCTGCGTAAGTGAAACTTTCTATCTTTTGATTGGCATCTTCCTATTTCTCCCATCCTACAGCCCCTGGTAACCATCATTCTATTCTCTGCTTCTGTGAGTTCAACTGTTTTAAATTCTACATGTAAGTGAATCATGCAGTATTTATCTTTCTGTGTCTGGCTTATTTAACTTCACATAATGTCTTCCAGGTGTAATCTATGCTGTTGCAAATGATGGGATTTCCTTCTTTTTATGGCTGAATAATATTTCATTGTATATAGATAGCATATTTTGTTTATCCATTCATCTGTCAGCAGGCACTTGGATTGTCTTTATATCTTGGCTGTTGTGAATAAAACTGCAACAAAGATGAAAGTGAAGATATTTCTTTGAGAAACTGATTTCATTTTCCTCGAATATTAATATATATATACACATACACATACAGACATACACACGCACACATATATCCACAAGTGGTACTGCTGGATTATATGATAGTTATATTTTTAATTTTTTGAACAACCTCTATACTGTTTTTCATAATAGCTATGCCAATTTACATTTCCACTAACAGTGTTCAAGGGTCCCCTTTTCTTTTTTCTACATCTTTGCCAACACTTATCTCTTATCTTTTTGGTAATAGTCATCCTACTGTGTATGAGGTATTACTTGATTGTGGCTGTGATTTGCACTTCCTGATGATTAGTGATGTTGAACACTTTTTCACATACCTGTTAGCCATTCGTATGTCTAATTTTGAGGAATGTCTATTTAGGTGCTTTGCCTATTTTTTAGCTAGGCTTTTTTCTTACTATTGAGTTATGTTTCTTATATATTTTGTATATTAATCCTTTGACAGATGTGTGGCTTGCACATATTTTGTCCCATTTCATCTTTGCTCTGTGAATTGTTTGCTATGAGAAACTTTTAGTTTGATGTAATCTCATTTGTCTGTTTTTGCCTGTGTTTTTGGGATATTTCCAAAAATATTGCTCAGACCAATGTCAAGAAGCTTTTCACTTCTGTTTTCTTTCAGAAATTTTACAGGTTCAGGTCTTATGTTCTGGATTCAAGTGGCTCTCCTGCCCCAGCTGCTTGAGTAGCTGGGACCACAGGTGCATGCCACCATACTCAGCTAATTTTTCGTAGAGACTAGGTCTTGCTGTATTGGTCAGGTCAAATCCTGGCCTCAAGTGATTCTCTGTCTTGGCCTTCCAAAGTGCTAAAATTATACTCATGAGCCATTGTGCCTGGCCTTTTTTTTTCTATCTTTTTCTAGAGATAGGGTCTCGCTGTACTAACACTATTTATTGAGACACTGCTCTTTCCCCATTGTGTAGTGTATTTTGGGCAACTTTGTCAAAGAGCAGTTGACCGTAAATGTGTGTATTTATTTTGGGACCCTCTATTCTGTTCTATTGGTGTATTTGTTTTTATGCCAATACAATGCTGTTTTGATTACTGTAGTTTTGTAGCGTACTGTATTTTGGAATCAAACAGGGTGATTCTTTTAGTTTAGTTTCTTTATTTTTTATTTTTTATTTTTTGCAGTTTTTGGCTGGGGCTGGATTTGAACCTGGCACCTCCGGCATATGGAGCTGGTGCCCTACTCCTTTGAGCCACAGGCACCACCCAATTTTTTTTTCCCTCAAGATTGCATTGATTCTTTGAGTTCTTTTGTGGCTCCATGTGAATTTTAGGATTGCTTTTTTTATTTTTGTGAGATATGGTAGGGGAATTTTGATAGGGATTGCACTGACTCTGCAGATAGCTTTGGGGAGTATGGATAATTAATATTAATTCTTCATTCTATGAACACGGGATATCTTTCCACTTATTACTGTCTTTAATTTCTTTCATTGTGCTTATAGTTTTTAGTGTACTAATTTATTTTACCTTCTTGGTTAAAGCCATTCCTTAGTATTTTTTTTTTTTATGCAATTGTAAATGGGATTGTTTTCTTCATTTCTTTTTTGGATAGTTCACTGTTAGTATATAGAAATTAAACTGATTTTTGTAGGTTGATTTTATGTCCTAAAACTTAATTGAATTCATTTATTAGTTATGACAGTTTTTTTGGTGGCATTATTAAGGATTTCCATATATAAGATTATGACAATTTTCCTTCTTTCCTAATTTGGATGCCTTTCATTGGGGCGGTGCCTGTGGCTCAAAGGAGTAGGGCGCTGGCCCCATATGCCAGAAGTGGTTGATTCAAACCCAGCCCTGGCCAAAAGCTGCAAAAAAAAAACTTCTGGATGCCTTTTAGTTCTTTTTCTTATCCAATTGCTTTTGCTAGAATGTCCATACTATGTTGCATAGAAGTAGTGAGAGTGGTCATCCTTGTCGTGTTCCTGATCTTAGAGGAAAAGCTTTCCGCTATTTGTTGGTGAAGATATTAGCTGTGCACTTATTCTATGTGGCCTTTATTATGTATGTTGAAGTACATTCCTTCTACACCTAATTTGTGAGAGTCTTTATCATAAAAGGACGTCGTGTTTTGTCAAATGCTTTTTCTGCACCTGTTGAAGGGATCATATAATTTTATCCTTATTCTGTTAATGTGTGATGTATGAGAAGAATTAGCATTAATTTTTTCTTTTTTTTAGATAAGCCTGGGCATCTTTTGTCCAGGCTTAGCGTGCCAAGATGTCAGCCTAGCTCACAACAACTTCAAATTCCAGTGATCCTCCTGCCTCAGCCTCCTGAGTAGCTGGGAGTACCATGATTCACTATTTTTTTCTATTTTTTAGTAGAGATAGGGTCTTACTCTTGCTCAGGCTAGTCTCAAGTTCCTGAGCTCAAGAGATGCTCCCAGAGTACTAGGATGACAGGTGTGAGCAACTGTGCCCAGACAGCATTAATTCATTCATTGTACCTTTTTGGGGGGGGGAGGGAGGAGGTACATTTCTGTGTAGAACACAGCATTTTTTAAGTGTAAACTTATTTTTTTCTTTTCTTTTCTTTTTCTTTTTTTTTTTTTGACAGAGTCTGTCTCACTTTGTTGCCCTCGGTAGAGTGCTGTGGTGTCACAGCTCTCAGCAACCTCCAACTCTGTTTGTTGTTGGGTTTTTTGTTTTGCGGTTTTTGGCTGGGCTGGGTTTGAACCCACCATATCCAGTATATAGGGCTAGCACCCTACTCCTTGAGCCATGGGCACCACCCAGCAACCTCCAACTCTTTTGGGCTTAAGCCGTTCTCTTGCCTCAGCCTCCCGAGTAGCTGAGACTACAGGTGCCTGCCACAATGCCTGGCTATTTTTTGTTGCAGTTCCCACTGCTGTTTTAGTTGGCCGTGGCCAGGTTTGAACCCACCACCCTCAGTATATGGGGCCAGTGCCCTACCCGCTGAGCCACAGATGCCTCCCTAAATTCATTTTTTTCATTATGGAAAATTTTAAACTATAGAAGTAGGTACATTGCTACAGTAAATCCTTATGTACTTTATTGAACAATTATCAACACATGTTCAACTTGTTGCTGGTATACTTAATCCTCCTGCTTCCGTCCTCTATTTTGAAGCATATCCAAGATATCATGTCATTTGAGATATATGTATTTCATTGTGTAGCTCTAAATTAGGTAAGGACTCTCTTTTCTCTCTTTTTCTGTCACTTTTTAAAGCATTACCATGATATTATCACATTTAAAATACTAATTTCTTATACTCATCAAATATCTACTCCATATTGAAATTTCCAGGAGTGCTTCATATATTTTCTTTTGAACACTTGATTTGTTTGAATCAGGATAAGACATGATCCAAACATTATGTTTGATAGATGTGCCATTTATTTATTTTTTTTGAGACAGTCTCACTTTGTTACCCTAGGTAGAGTGCTGTGGTGTCACAGCTTACAGCAACCTCAAACTCTTGGGTTTAAGTGATTCTCTTGCCACAATGCCCGGCTATTTTTAGAGATGAGGTCTTGCTCTGGCTCAGGCTAGCATTGAACTTGTGAGCTCAGGCAATCCACCCACCTCGGCCTCCCAAGTGCTGGGATTATAGGCATGAGGCAATATGCCCGACCTTAGATGTGCCTTTTAAGTCTCTTTTAAGCTGTAAATTTGTTATACTCTTCTCTCTCTCCCTTCTTGTAATTCATTTCTTGAAGAAATCAGATTTTTTTTTTGAGTTTCCAGGATTCTGGATTTTGCTGATTGCGTCTCCACAGTGTTGCTTAACAAGATCTTCCATTTCTATATTCCCTGGAAAGTGGTAGTTAAATTTACAGGCCTGATAGATTCAGATTAAATATTTTAGCAAGAATACTTGATAGGTATAGCGTGTCCTTCCTATAACTTATATCTTAAGACATTTTTTAAAACATTAATACTCTTTATATCTGTTATAAGAAATAAATATATTAGTAAATCTTTTTACTTCTCTCAGGGCTTGGACCAGCACCCTACAATGGTTATTTGATTTTTTTTTTAAAGTTATATGAAGAGATTTATCCCTTAAGAAAATTATTTTTAGTGGACTACTGGTTATAAGTTTGAGCAATAAAGGAAATATTCATGATAAAATATTAAATTTAAATTAAGAAAATGAAATTGCGAACTAAATTGTTTTCCTCTTTTAATGTCTTGATGTATGTGTGTGTGTATGAAGACATAAAAGTAAACTATATATATATATATATTTTTTTTTAATTTTTGGGAAAATACAAAAGGAATGTGGTTCTATATAAGTAAGGCTATAGTTTACTTTACCTGATAGTTAAATTAGAAGTTAGGAAAAAAAAAAGAAATTAGAAAAAAAATCATTACAGATGTTAGAAGGAAAAGCACTGTCTTTGGTGTTTCCTCTTTTATAATTCCTTATCCTTTCTATGTCAATTCAGTTTTCTTTCATCTCTTCATAGGCAAAAGATCTCATATGAAATATGAAAAATATTTTATCAGTGAGGAGTGAATAAAAGTTATTCAAATGTTATTATTCTTCTGCAATATAGAGTTAAAAACCATTCATTTGAAATCAGTAATTTTTTTCAGGAATTTTTCTGCCTACTGTAATATGTTACTACTCATACATGTATTTTGAATCTTCTCTGTGTGCTTTATATTAGTTCAGACAAATTGGAGCTCCATGAAACTCTCAATGATGATTCAGGAAGCCAATGCTATCAGCAGCAAATTAAAAACATATTATGTTTTTGGCAGGTGAGTAATTATCCTGATTATAAAAGTTTTTTTTTGTTTGTTTTTAACTAGTAGACCTTCCTATAATTTAGTTTCTCTGAAGTCTATTCTACAGTGCCTATCTAGGAAAGAGGTGGCATCAGAAGCCCCTGTGATACTTTCAGACTCTTTTAAGAGCTCACTCTGGTGGGGAGAGGAGAAGGGACAGGTGAAAACCTACCTAATGGGTACAGTGCACACTACCTGGGTCATGGGCATACTTATTACCATGGCTCAAGTATTATAAAAGCAATCCATGTAAGCAAAAATATTTGTACCCCCTGAAATATTGAAATATAATAAAATGAAATTTTAAAAAAGAGCTTATTCTAGAGTAAAAAAGAAGTTTTGGCAATTAGCACACTAATATATTCATAAGCAGAATAATTTTAGTTGTAGGAATTTGCTAAGTTTCTGTTAAGTTGAAAATTTATCAATATTTCACTTTTTAAAAAGGAATGTATCCTATTAGAATCATTGCAAGTTTAAAAATTTTTATAGGCTCGATGCCTGCGGCTCAAGTGGCTAAGGCGCCAGCTACATATACCTAAGGTGGTGGGTTCGAACCCAGCCCGGGCTCGCCAAACAACAATGACGGCTGCAACCAAAAAATAGCCAGGTGTTGCAGTGGGTACCTATGGTCCCAGCTACTTGGGAGGCAGAGGCAGGAGACTTGCTTGAGCCCAAGAGTTGGAGGTTGCTGTGAGCTGTGATGCCACAGCACTCTACCCAGGGGAACTGCTTAAGGCTCTGTCTCAAAAAAAAAAAAAAAAATTTATAAAAGAAGTTATTTTTATATAGCATCTGTTAGACATGATTATTATAATAATAAAAATATTTAGCTATGGAAAGATTAAATAAGTGGACTGAATTTTTGTTGTTATTTGGCAGGCCTGGGCTGGGTTCAAACCCACCAGGCTTGGTGTATGTGGCTAGTGCCCTAGCTGCTGAGCTGTAGGCACTGAGCCAGTGGCCTGAATTTTTATGAAAATTATTCTGTTCCAGAAAACTTTTAGTGTAAATAGGTGTTATGTTTTAGCATAAGCATTTTTTTCTTTGTGTGATTTTTCTTTCAGACACGATATATCAGATAAAGGTAGTGCTGACACTTCTATTCGGGTTCGTAACCTGAAACTGGGAATCTCAACTTTCTGGAGTCTGGAAAAGTTTGAATCTAAACTTGCAGCAATGAAAGAACTTTATGAGGTTTGGAAGGTTATTAAATCTCTATAAACTTCTCAAAATAAAAAAATATAAAACTGACATATTCTCAGTAAAGAAAATTGGAAAAGGCAATCGATCAATTACCCAAACCAATCAATATTAACAATTATGTATATTTATTTTACTTTTGCACTTAAATGGAGTTTTATTGATTTAATGTAGTTATAAGCATAACAGAGAATTTTAGTGTTGAATCTATTCAGTTATAATTGTAATATTAAAAAATTTTTACATTTAATCTTAAGGGAAGAAGAAATTTTATAGACATAAAGAAAATTGCATCATTCAAAATTATTTTCCAAGTCATAAAAATGTATATTTTTACATATTTAATTTACATTACATTTTCCTATTGATGTGCTCTGGGTGTTTCCAGTTGTTTTCTACTTTTTTTTTGTTGCAGTTTGGCCAGGGCCAGGTTTGAACCCACCATCCTCAGTATATGGGGCCAGTACCCTACCCACTGAGCCAAAGGTGCTGCCCATGTGTTTTCTGCTTTTTTATAGTCAAAACTAAAAATATCTCTGTACATGTTCATTTTTATTTATTTATTTAGTGACAGAGTCTCACTATGCTGCCCTGAGTAGAGTGCTGTAGTGTCACAGCTCACAGCAACCTCAAACTCCTGGGCTTAAGTGATTCTCTTGCCTCAGCCTTCTAAGCAGCTGAGACTACAGGTGCCTGCCAAAATGCCCAGCTATTTTTTGTTGCAGTTGTTTAGCTGGCCTGGGCCAGGTTCAAACCTGCCACCTTCAATATATGTTGCTGGCTCTATAACCACTGTTCTTCGGGGGCTGAGCCAATGTTCATGTTTAATATTTTATTATCATCTATTTCTTCAACTGAAACTCAAAATATGAACTTTTTTTTTCCTTTTTAATTTTTTTTTTTTT